GCTTAGAGTGTTTTCTCTCAAAACGTTATCCTGTTTTTTAGCATTATTGTTAATTGTGATTATTATTATTATTATAATTATTATGAATGTCAATGATTTCCTTTAAACAGATGATATTCATGACAAATTTTTAAACTAAATTTCTTGTAACTCTGTCGCCTTTCAATTATATATAAATATGTATGTGTGTATGTATCTATATACGCACACATACACTGACACAGAGACAGGCACATTATTCTATGCACAATACACCTTCAATGTACCATGGTAGATTATTTCCCCCTTTTTTTCTTCTTTGTCTTGACTTCTCTCTCTTTCTTTTAATGAGGAAGGAAACTTTCTTTTTTTTTTCTCTTCAAATTTATGTCAAGTTACTAACAAAACTATCTATTTTCATCATCTTCACCTATAATTTCTCTCTGTGTCTACTACTCTGGTTGATTGCTCTAATTATAATTTCTATGGCTTTTCTTATTTTCAGCATGCATAATATATCTATAATTAAGTATGATTTATTATAATATATATATACCCTCCTTTCTTTATTATTAAGAAAAGGTAATAATAATAATAATGATTAATAAATACTAAGGGAAATGAATTAAACTCCTCTACTTTATACTTTTGGTGCTGCTCTTTTGTTTTAATTTCATTCACTTTGAAATGTTGATCATTGAACAAGTAAAATATGAATGTCAAATCCGATTGAGTTCAATAAAAGTCATTTATTTCCAATCCTATTATTATTATTACTATTTTAATTAGTGACTTATGTGTATCAGACGAAGGAGAATTTGAAAATTTAAAATAAATATGGTAATTACTTCCTTTCAATAGAGCGTTTGTGTGTATAAGTAAATTATGTTCAGAATTATTGAGGCTGGTTATTTGTGACTGGAAAAAAAATAATGTGAATAAAATGGTTTGACACACACATATATGTCTGTCTTCGCTCAATACTCAAGATCAGATAGCCGACCAGAAAGGATCAGCAATAGGGATCTCTGGGAGCGAACCAGCCTAGCAGGAACCGATTGTGAAACAAATAGGCAGGAAGAAATGGAGTTGCCTTGGATTGGCCATACTCTGAGGAAACCATCAAGTGACATCACTAGAAAAGCCCTCGAGGGAAGCGGCGAGTTGGTCGTCCAAGGGTGACTTGGAGGAGGTCATGTAAAGAGGAGGTGAAAGAGTTTGGGCAGACTTCGAGCCATGTGAAAACTTTAGCAGAGAACCGAACGCAATGGAGACGTGCAGCTGAAGCCCTATGTTCCTCTAGGAATTAGAGGAAATAATAATAATATACGCATGTTCACATATATAAGTATTATTGTCAATTGTTAGTTTGTTGACAATTGATCAGTTTCAAGTTTGATTATGGATTGATAGCAATTTGGCAGCGTCGATGGTTCAATATTACAACACTGGCCAACCAAGCAAGTGGTCCGAGGTTCACTCCTCTGCAGGCGCACTTTGAAACCCCGTTTAGCTGCTAGTAGTAATCTCTGACTCATTGACTGGCTGGCTGGTTTCAACGTAGAACTTTGCACAGCAGTTCGAGTTGTCATTCTCCCTCTATGTAGTACACAAAGCAAGGGAACAGAGTAAAGAAAGATTCAAAGCAAAGAGAGAGATAATAAACAGAAATGTTAGGCAAAAGGAATGGTAAAATGGAAGAACAATAGAATTTATTAGATCTGAGCCATATTACCAATTGTCTCCAGTTGTCATTGGTTCTTACCATCCCGTGGACCCCAACCAGTCAGGAAGTCTACATCTCTTTACACTGGCTTAAACTAACTGTTGTGGATTTCTTTGACTGATGAAACCATTTTTTGGTTTGACCACCCCACCACTGGTTCTTTTCCAACTTGATCCATCATATGTCAGCTAACATTGTCCATCGGGGAAAGCGATGGCTAGACTAGACATGTGTAGCACGCAACCTAACCATCCATCTCAGTCGGTGTAATTTCACAACCTCGATTGATATCCCCTCCTTATCTAGTACTCACCTTGTTTTACCACCACATAACACGGGAGATAGAACGCAGACACAGCTGGCCGGCTTTTTCGTATCTTCCACTTTCAAAAGCTATATCTCACTCACAGCCATAAAGAAGGACAGAGTGAACTGCTGAGTAGTACACAAGCTTTTTGGTCGACAGCCGGATATCATGTCTACGCCAGAGATGGTGTAAGTTGGCAGTAATCCTTGTAAAGAGGGAATACTCAGTATGAGGCTAACGACACGACCCTGTAAAATCCGTCACCGCTGCAGACACTTTTAAACTCAAACCTGAAGCCCTATATTTCACGTAGAGAAAAAAAGGAATATGAAAAAGAAATAAGAGAGAACCGTTGAAAACCAGTACTGGAGCACTGGACAATGCTGTTTCTTTTTCTTCAGCAGTTGGTCAGTATATCCTGGTTGTTTTCAGTGGTTCTAGAAACTGCGACATCAATCCGTGAATAAACGTGAAATTACTATTTTTATGGTAACGATCATAATACTTAAAAGAAAAATCTTTTTGAAATCTCAAATGCACCTACATAATCTCCTTCTCTGCAACTTGATTGTTAATCCTTGTCTAAGTAGAAAGCAGAAGATAGATGGAAATAAAACAGAAGGGCGAAAAAAACAGAGAAAGAAAAAGAAGAAATGAAATTTTTTTCTAGTATTGCTTTGTGGGGATTTGATTGGTAGCAGGATTTCATTATGAGCTGAGTGAAGCATTAGAAAACCTGGTGGTAGTGAACAGTTGTTTCGTCCGGGACTCCTCGGTAGTACGTATCCACCAGGATCTTCTGGTTAGACCACAGATCATTGAGGCACTGGGATCCCAACCAAAAAGATTAGTGACAATCGCTTCAGTGTTAAATGGTAACCTGATGCTGTTTGGAACTTGAAGGGTCTTAAAGGATTTCAATATATCGATTGCATATTCGCTGTTTAACAACTGGTGAGGAACTGCATTACTAAAGGTGTTCACGTTTTTTAATCACAGGTTTCTTGGAATTCACTCAAATCCTTTCTTTAAGTCCGATGTATGGACTTTGTTGGATGCATGTAAATTGGTATATTCACTAGAGACAATGTAAGGTTGATGTGTCCCCTTTTTCACTTTAGCTGCTATTGCATATACCAGTTAATATGTACCTGACAAAGCACATACATCAGGCAAATATAAATAATGATTTGTGATGGCATATCTAGGCGGATTCCTAGAAACCTGTGACGGCAAAGAGCGAAAGTCCTTAGAAGTGGGAATGATCGTCAGTCGTTCAACAGTTGTCATGTAATTGAGTCATTAAAATACAGCAGGTTGTTGATTAGTCGGCTGCCTACCAGAGTTCCTTGTTGCTTATCCTGTCTTTTCGAGCGACCACCCGCTCTTCATTATCAACTTAGTGAATCCAGCTGTTGATGAAAGTTTGCAGCCACTTGTTGGAAATGATTTTGATCACTCACCAAGCCTTTGAAGCATAGAAAGAAAGGCTTACTGACTTGACATTTCTGTTGGTAATTCAAATGCCGTTCTTTAAGCCAAGTACAGTAGATTTCCTCACTGATTTCAGACTAGTCTTGCCTTTTGACATTCTAATCTATGTCACCTGTAGTTTAAACAATACTGCCTAAATAAGGGAAAGAAGTGACCTTCTTCAAATTTCTCTGGCGAAGTTAAACTTTGAGCACCAGCAAATACCAATGGAGTGCGACCACATCAATAACCTCGAAACGTTCATTGAACAAGTTAGTGCAACCTAGTAAATAATATTGTAATCATGAATAAATTATGCTTAATGAAGTGTTATTTTATTAAAGGGGATATCTAGCTAGTGTTAGCTTAGATTTAGAAACGATTATATTGAGGTTTAGGCTAAGGACAGATTAGGGTTTTGGTTAACGTAATTAAGGTGACTTTAGGATTAGTTTAGGGATGTCTTCACCTTAGGTTTGGGTTGAGGAAACATTCGGGTTATTTTTGAAGGGTTAGAAGACCTAGATAATTACATGAATTGAATGTGGTTAGATTACTCTATTGGTACTCCAGTCCAACACTGAGAGGTATTTTCTCTCACATCGAGAAAAGGTTTCCTGTGTCACAGTTTCATGCCTTTAAATTCATGATTTTTATGACTTTATGTATTTTATACGTAAAAGTCGTTTTTATCATGCGGTTGGTGCTCTCAAGGTCGTTTGTTCGATTGTACTTACTGGTGCTTAAAGTTTAACTCTGTCATTTCTCCCATTGAAAGTGATCCCTACCTGTTATTCTTGTCGATTAGGTATCTTCACCACCTTGAATTCGTTTTCTCTGCTTCTTCTGACAGCCTGTTGATTTCCACTTCAAGTTTAAACTGCACTACAGATTTCCTCCATTATATCTGAATAATTATGATAAAATGAAATGTGTTCACCTTTTTTTAAACCATTCAGAGATGTCTTGGATACAATTTTAAATATTTATAATCCTAAAGTTTGTATATTTGAATGTGAGTACGCTTAGAATTTGTTATATACCCAATAATAGTGTCTATCTTTTCCAGTTGTATCGTATTCATGGCGCCTTTTGTATCTCTTACTCATTGTGATGACTAAGCTCTTATTCCTTTTTAACTCAAAACTAATCAGTGAATTTAGTGCTCGTCATGGTCATCTAAAACCTGTATGTATATTTAGTATCTCTGTCAAGTGCTCCGACTTTTGTTTGAGTCACTAAAAGTTCTTTCCACCAGTGGTCCGTCTTATTTTCTTATTCGTTTTGTGATTTACCTTGTGACTGGTGATTTTAGGAGCTTCCGCTAGCTCATTGGATTCATATTGCTGCCAATTGGCCAGGTCTTATTACAGATAGCGTCAAAATTAGATTTAGTTAGTGTCTATCAAACCATTATTGGTGTTTATAAATTTGAATTAAGCATAACTTCATTTCAAGTTTACCTCATTATAATTTCTGTTTTTTATTATTTAAATTTTCTGTGTCTATCTTTAGCTTGCTACAGTGTCTGTATTAGGTGATTGGATATCAAGAAGAATTATAACGAAGAATATAAGATCAAAAAAATCAACTTCAGATTGTGATCTATATCCTCATATGGTCGGTATTTATTGTTGTGTTCAACTTTCATTCTCATCATTGTGATTATTATTCTCATTTTAAAAACAATATTCAGCAGATATTAGATGGTTGGAGGTTTTGTGCTAGTTGGCACTCACCAGTCGGCAAGCCATATCTGTTACCTTGAAGGAACTCATGTCCCTTCTGAGATTCGAACTCGTGTCATACAGTGAGAGACGTTACCACTGAGTTATTCGGGCTCGCGACTGACCTTTTGTAGGACTGTAGTGGATACCTTGATTGGCCACTAGTAACTAGGGTGACGTGTCTAGTCCTTTTTTTTGGTACAGACTGAATTCTGTCAGTCAGGTTTGCAGTGTGGCCACCATTCTAGGTAGCTCGTCATTACGTTGGACGTTGATTTGATGATATAAGATGGTTGGAGATCCAAGGCTTCATGACGATTGCCTTCAACCATCTAATATCATCAAATCAATGTTCACCGTAATGGCGAGCTACTTAGAATGATGGCCACATTGCAAACCCGACTGATATAATTCAGTCTGCACCAAAGAAAGGACACTAGGCACATCACACTAGTTATTAGTGTCCAATCAAAGCAAACAATATTCTTTTCGATAAATGCCTCTTGATCAGATTTTACAGTTGTATGGTTGTCATAATGAATAACACCGATTGGATAGATAATATGCATCAATATAACACTAAATTGAGTGTGGGAGATAAACTCACAGGAGGCCAGCGTAGTACTGGTGGCGGTGGACCTGTTTCTTTTGCACATAGAACTCTGGTTGTTTTATACCAATTGCTATGGTTTCTGGTGTTTTGGAATATTCAGTATCTAGAGGTATATGGTGATTGGTTCAGCACACGATAAATCATAGAAAAAGATTTTTTATTGGTAGCTTTAGGGTCCATTTGGATCAGGTGGACTTATATATCTAGTTGTTGTTGGTTTTTATTTTGCCTTTATTGAACCACACTGGTAGGTCTCTCATAGCTTGTAAAATTATGTTCCTAGAGCGACGGTCAATATATTATTGAGCGAGTGTTATTTAAAGCAACAGTTCTTTAATTATTATAATGATGTAGCTGTAGAACCTGTTGAAGAAGTTATCGAAAAGAATATTCTATGCTCGTTAGTCTCAGTGTTTTGACATTTTTGTCGACAACTGCAATCACTTATTAATATTATCATAATCTTTACTGATTTATATGTCTCCGATACACATTTCAAGTATGTATCCACCAATAGTCACAGAAACTTTACCTAAGACGTAGTTTGGTGTACAATCCACCTCTATGACTGACTTTTTGAATTGTGGATCCAATAGGGGATAACATCTCCAGGGAAACACCCTGAGTACTTCATGGTCTGGTATCTTGTATGCACTTATATAACACTCGTTAGACATCAGAAACATAGTTTTACATGCATAATACTGTAACGATCAAAACCAACTCGTTATGGTCTGAATGCAGGGAACCGATCTTTGTTTCCTTACTACATAGCTGACAAAATTTCTTTGAGACACTCACAGTCACGAAATACTCCAAAGACAATAAAAAGACAGTTGTTCGTTGTTTGAATCTATGTGTGCTTCTATTGAACAACAATAATAACACCCAGAACTCGAAATTACCTCAATAGTGCCGTTACGCAGCTACGCAGTCAACAGAACGTTCGAATTACACAACAAGCACTGTGGGACAAAATTTATTAGCCAAAATTCAACTGTATTAAGTATCTTAGAATGAAATAGCATATTCCCAACATGGTGGGATCAAAACTGTGTCCACAAGAATCACAAATCAATTCATCCCATGGGCTGTTCAAGGTCAGAACGAGTGTAGTAATTGCAGTAATTGAAAAATATTTCATTTATGAAGCGGTTCGTCTACACAACTGTGGCATCTCACTGGTAGATTTAACGAAATCCATTCAGTTTAATTCATTAAAGAAGATTTCATACTTCAGATGGATGCATTTAACGATTTTGTGTTTGGCGAGCTACATGGTATAGTTGTGAAAACAACATCTTTTCTGAAAAGACTGGGCAGCCTTTCAATTAAAGTTAGGAATCGAAATCCAGATCACATGAGTCTCTGGTGAACATCTTCCCCTTGAACCACCAACACACCATGAATTAAACAGAATAGTAGTTTTCGAGGATTCATAATACAGTTCGGTTAATTTGTATCTGTTCTTCTTGTAATTGAGGACTATCAGTAACATTTAGTTCATAACATCTTGTGATTCTGGTTGGTTATGCAAAAACTAAAATAGCTGTGCTGTATTTTGACACAGAGTCTACGAGCTGTAGGTCGATTGCATTAGCAAATAAATTACACATCCTCTCTATCTACTATCTAATGTCAAGTATATACTTTAAAAAATTGTCGTGGTGAATTTCTCTTCCCCCTTGTTTCTCTTTACTCATTGTGATTTTTCCTTATCTTTAGGTATTTGCCAATGTATGGAACTTTCAGAATGTATTGAGCGCATTTCAACAAATCGGTTATATTGATGAGCATTCATTACCAAATGTATACGGTTGAACGAATATTTCTAAAATTGTAATTTACCTGACTGTTTTTTATCATATGACTTATTTGTGTATGTATTTTAGCAAAAAAGTAAAGATATTTGTTAAAATTGAGTGTTTTATGCTTATAGTGATTCATAAAGTGTGTCCTATTTGTCATTTTCGTCGAAGCAAGAAGATTTGAAGTATACGATTATTATTGCTCCCTTGGGTTCCTAGTGGAACATAGGGCTTCAACTGTACGTCTCCATTTACTTCTGTCTTCTGCTGTACTTTTCGCCTCCATCCATGTTAGTCTATATTCTTTCAACTCCTCTTTACAGGATCTCCTCCATGTCACCCTTGGACGTCCAACACGCCGCTTCCCTTTCGGGTTCCACTCGAGTGATGGCTTGACGCGCGATGTCACCCAGCGGCTTCCTCAGTGAGTGACCGATCCATCTCCACTTTCTCCTGCATATTTGTTGGTTGGCGATTGGTTCATATTTTGTTTGTTCCCGTCGTTCCTTGTTGGTGAAGTTTTCCGGCCCGGCCGGCCATCTGATCTTCAGTAAAGATCCAGCGAAGACAGTTGTTGTTGATAAAGGTCTGCAACAGGCTGTTGGAAATATTCTTTGTGACCGCCCGCCAAGTTTCTGATCCGTATAGAAAAACTGGCTGACTTGACGTTTGTATTGAAAATCCGACTGGATTTTGTTGTTGATGCTGAGTGACGAAGATTTCCAGATTGATTCAGGTTGATGAATGTGTTTTTCGCCTTCCCGATTGTCGATTTGACATCCTCGTCCGCTCCTCCTGTAGTTGAGACAATGCTCCCTAGATAAGTGAATGAAGTAACCTCTTTCAAATCCCTCCCGTTGATGGTGATTGGCATTGGATGTTGCTGCTGTTGTCGTTGTTGTTGGTTATTTTCATAACCTCCGTCTTGTCTATGTTCACCTGGAGTCCTGTCTTTGCCGACTGCTTCTTCGACCAGTTTGTCGGTTTTCGCTTGTAAGTCTTCGATTGTGTGTGACATCAAACATAAATCATCCGCGAAATCCAGGTCTTCTAGGTTCTTCACGTCTGTCTGGGATATCCCTGTCTTCTCGTTTCCCACTGTCTGACGCATAATCCAGTCCACCACAATTAGGAATATCATTGGTGATAATAGGCAGGCAGCCTTGTCTGACTCCTGTGTTTACTCCAAACGCCTCGCTGAGTTTTCCGTTGTGGATCACTTGACATGTGCCGTTGTCGTACAGCTGTTGAATAAGGTTGATGAATATTTGGGGTACGCCATAGTACTCGAGTAATTTCCAAATTACTTCACGGTCAACGCTGTCGAAGGCCTTCTCAAAGTCTATAAAGTTGAGGTAGAGGTTTGATTGCCATTCCATGCTTTGTTCTGTGATGATGTTTCGTAGAGTTGCATTTATTTGGTCAGTACATGATTTGCCTTTCCTGAATCCAGCTTGTTCTGGTCGGAGTTCTGTCTCCAGTGCGTCCTTTAATCTCTCCAGGATGATGCGACTCAGGTTTTTTTTTGTTGGCGTCAGGAGCATGATTCCTCGCCAGTTCTTGCAGAGTGAGGCGTAAGTCGCCCTTCTTTGGTAGTTTCACGAGGTAACTTTCCTCCAGTCAGTAGGCACCTTTCCCTCCTTCCAGACCTTTTGCAATAATGGAGTCAGCATGTCTGCTGTCGTCTCTGGGTCCGCTTTCAGTGCTTCAGGGGGTATTCCATCTGGTCCGGCTGCTTTTCCAGCTTTCAGAAGCTTGATTGCGTTCAAGACTTCAGCTCTCGTTGGAGGATTGGTGTCAACTTGCAGTTGTGTGCGTGCTGTTGTTGGTATTTCTGGACGGGTTGCAGGTGATGGTCGGTTCAAGAGTCCTTTGAAGTGATCCGCCCATTGTTTAATCTGTTTTTTTTCCTTGGTAATTGGGTTCCCTTGGCTGTCTTTTATAGGTTTCGCTTGTGTTGATCTCTTCCCGGATAGAGATTTGGTTATCTGATATAGTGTCCTCAGGTCCCTTTTGCCTGCTGCCTTCTCAGCTTCAGTGGCGAGGTTGTCGTAGAATCGTCTTTTGTCCTTCCTAGCACTCTTCTTCACTTCTTTGTCCAGTGCTTTGTAAGTTGAGCTCAGCGTCTCCTTCTCCTGTCCGTCCTTGCATTGAATCATTTTCTCTTTCACCATTCTCCTCTCTTCTATTAATTTCCAAGTGTCCGTTGAGAGCCATTCTTGTCTTGTCTCTTCTTTCTTCCTAGAACCGTTGAACACGTTTCGTTGAGAATCGCCTTCAGAGACTTCCAATGTTCTTCCACGCATGATTCTTCAGTGATGTCGCGTAGTGTTTCCTGCTTTGCTCTGACAGTTGCAGTGAAGGTGTCTTTTGTGGTTGTGTCCTTCAGTAATTGAGTGTTGAACTTGCATTGTGGCCTATCCCCAGCTATCCTCGAGGCTTTTAGTTTCACCTTGAAAGTCCCTTGTACTAGATAGTGGTCTGAACCCACATCTGCTCCTCTCCTTGACCTTGTGTCCAGTAGGCTCCGTCTCCACTTTCTTGAAATTGAGATGAAGTCTATTTGGTTCTTGGTGTTTCCATCTGGTGAAATCCATGTCGTCTTGTGTATATCCTTGTGTTTGAACACACTACCACCAATCACCAAATCATTGAAGGCGCAGAAGTCTGAGAAGAGTTCACCATTGTCGTTCATTTCACCGAGGGCCTCACGACCCATGGTGAGTTCTCTTCCTGTGTTGTCTCCTCCCAGCTTCGCATTCATGTCGCCCATCAGGATTTTGATATCGCCATTTGGGACGTTGTCCATTATTGCTTGTAGTTGTCTGTAGAACGCCTCCTTCTTCTCTTGTTCTGAGACGTTTGTAGGCGCATAGCATTGAATGACTGTAACTTTCCTTCCTTTTGAGTTGAACCTGGCTGTCATTATCCTGGAGGAGATTGGTTCCCACTGCATGAGAGCTTTGGTTGCTGTTGGTGACATCATGATGGCCACTCCCTCGGTGTGCTCGTGGTTGTCCTCTGGGTGGCCGGAATAGATTACTGTCTCTCCAGTAGGTAGTTGGCACCTTCCAGTTCCGTTCCATCTGCTTTCGCAGATTCCCAACACTTCTATTCTGTACCTTCTCATTTCAGCGGCTATCTGGGCAGCCTTTCCAGTTTCGTACATTGTGCGAACATTCCAGGTACCCATCCTTACTTTTGCTTTCATCGAAAGAAGGCACATCGGCTGACTGGCTTCCCGAAGGCTTTCACCAGCCTGCGTCATTTCACTTCCCCGATTCCAGCGAAAAGTAAGGCTATTGCTTATGTTTTTAGAATTTTTAATATATTTATTCGTTGAAGTTTCTGTAGCGATTTGGTTGTTTTACAGGGGTGGAGTTGCTAGCACCACCCCCAACCCTCTCTCTTTACCCGGGCTTGGGACCGGCTAGAAAACAAGAAAGGTAGTAGCCTAGCAAGCTAGTATCTGGCGAGGTTTTTGAAGTATAAGACCATTATTATTGTTTCCTTTAGTTCCGAGAGGAACAGAGGGCTTCAGTCGCACGTCTCCATTGCGTTCGGTTCTCTGCCAAAGTTTTCACCTGACTCCACGTCTTCCCACATGCTTTCATCTCCTCTTCATATGACCTCCTTGATGTCACCCTCGCACTGATGACCAACTCGCTGCTTCCCATTCAGGTTCCACTCGAGGGATAGCCTGTCGTGTGAGACCACATTCTTTTTATTCTCAGAGTATGGTCAATCCACCCACATCCATTTCTTCCTGCATATTTGGTATAAAATATGCACTTTTTATTTCAAGGCTTTTCTTCTACTGTAGACGGCAACCTAAAATATACATTGTATTGACAAAATAAGAAAATACATTTTTTCTCGTGTGTTCAGCCGAAGTTTGGCAATAAATACGTTGGAAAATAACAATGGGTGAAATGTGATGATGGCATAATCAGTTACAAATAATTTGAGAAAACTCCCCCAATTAGGCACAAAGAAAGCAAAAGGATTGAGCGAAGAAATGCTTACTTTTCAGTTCTGTCCTCGTCTCTCGCTTTACTCTAACATATGCAGCATTTTGATGCATTACACAACTCTTGAAAATTAATCTGATGCTCGCCAGCGACTTGCTACAGTACAGAGTTTCCTGGAGTTCTAATGAGAAATCGTGACCAGTGAGGTCCATCCAGTTGGGAGTTAGGATGGATGTCTCACCGATGACATTGGTTGGTGGTCGCTCTAAATCACGAATCGGTAGAAGTTCGAACTCACGGGTTATTGAATCACGTCCCATTGGCTGAATGGTATACGAGCTTGCCTTGTAACTGGAAGGTCCTTGGTTCGAACCTCGTAGTGTGGGTGCGTACTGGTGATAATTCCCAAATTAGGATGAAACAGCTGTCCAGTACTGAAGTGCGGGTTTTGAATGGTTTTCTAACTGAGATCAATCCGTGGTCGAACTCGTAAAAACAATACACAACATCTCACCGATCAAATGGCAGTAGGTTTGTTAACAAAAATTAGTCAGTATCAACATGTCAAGGGTTTATAATTATGATTTTTATTATTTCATTCCGTTGTGTTCTGAATGGAACTTATGTCTTCCAACTAGAGCTTTGAGGTTTCAATAGCAATAGGTTCTTTTACCGGTTAGAACTGTCAGCCTCACACCTAACATTCCCTCTTTGTTGGCCTTACAGCCAACTAGGGGAGGTAAATTTTTTTGGCGGCTGGAGTTCAAACTCCGGACTATGTTCACGGTTGAAAAGCATCCTACTGCTGAACCGCTGACGAACAATTAACGAAGAAAATTAATACACAAAATTAAAGGGTGGAAACGGTTACAACGAGTGGATTGTATAGTGTGTATTTTTGGAAGAATGAAGAGTAATGGGAAATAAGCGACTGTTCAAGTTGATTACGTAATAGCTGATTAAATAAAAATAAAGTAATTTGGGCTATGATAACTCGTAATTAAAGATGAAGTGGTCATAAAAATAAAATAACTTGTAGGAT